AGATAAAAAATAATGATAATAATAAATAATAAAGTTAATTTAAAATATTTATTAAAAAAAAAAAAAAAAAACCACCAACGAACTAACGAGACCAAGCAACTAAGAAGACAACTGAAGAACCTCTCCGAGAACCATCCAAACAGAAAAGCAAACCAGCTGCAAAAAATCCAAAAAGGAATGAATCTTTCCACTTCTAAGAGCTTCTAACCCTTTTGGAGCTTGAGTCAACAAACTTGTCTTTAGGGTTGACAGAAACCCGAGATGCCAACAGCTTGTGCAGAATAATCAGGCAAGCTCAGTTCATCTGGATAATAAGGAAAAGGGACCTTTGGACTTCCATTAGACACCCATTCGCAGTGTCACAACTTCACCGAGAGAAAATAGGTCGTAACCCTCACATGTCAAGACAAACAAGGGAGGGGTGACTCTCAAGTGGCACCGATCCAGCCATGTTTGGGCAAATATTGAAGAGTGTCATGATGTGACCGAGGAGAACGGTGCATCATCCAACACACCAAGAGTGTGCATTGAAGCTAAGTCAAGGCAAACGCAAAGTACGGGAGAACTAGGTGACACGAGTGTTGAGGACAAGCTCGAAGAGGGTCGAGTAAGGCTTTGAGCCATAACCTCCAAAGTCGGTATTTTGATGAGTTTCGGCATGCGACTCGAAAATGAAATCTAACGATATGAAAGATAAAAGCTCCCCAAATTTGGTGTCAAACGAATACTTGACGGACTATGCACGAGGTCGTATGTCAGCTTGCCAAAATGACGTCTACCCGAGAAGGATTGGAAATGATGGGGAGGCATGGTGATGGCTCTCTACCACTCCCGGGCTCTATGGCCTAAGCAAGCTATCCTATAGCACATGTATGTGTCACAGCGTGGGCAAGCATCACGAGACGAGCGTCTCATGTGTCTTCCTTTGAGAAGGTCTTTCAAGGAAAGTACCGGACGACATAGGTGTGTTGGTATTATGCCCTAGCCCATGTATATGAGGTTGGATTATGCACCCGCTATTTGGAACAAATGTCGTAAATGGTTTAGCATGGGTACGGGAGAGTTCGATGCTCGAGAGAACCCAGATGAATGGATGTTCAGGATGTCCCGATGAGATGATCGACACATGAGTCAATTCCCAATGGATGTGTCCAAGCAGGTCAAGATGGCCGATGTGTCCCGAAACATGGAACGACATCACGATACATGGGTCGTGCTGTTGGGAACCAAGATGACAATAAGATTCGACATTGTTGTGTTGCAACGATAGAACATGCACGCACAAATGACGTGTATGGCTGAACAAGCTTGGATTCTACACGAGTTGTGTTCAATTGGCAAAGGCGAACCTCACCGACGGTCCGATGAAGCCACAAAATCAGGCGAAAAATGTGAATGGGGTTTGAATTTCCCTTAAGGCTTGTCGTGAGCATTCAAGATCACGATACCGCACGGTTGAAGATGAATGACCGTGACACACTTCGTTAGGAAAAGACTAACAATCCTCATTCTCCACACAAAGAATCAAAGCCTTCATCAAGATAGTCATCCAACCTCTTTTTTGGACTAGCATGCAAGAGAATTTAACCCTTATCAAGAAAAGCCAGATGAAAAACTTCCTCAATCATAAGACAACGGTCGCTATTACAAGACAAGCAAACACCAAATGTCTCCAAGAAAGAGTTCCAGATTGAGATAGCAAACGTACATCTTCAAAAGATACAACACAAATCCCCATGCACCTGACAAAGAATACATCAATGTGGCTACATCACGAAGGAAGAATGACTCTGAATATGGTCCTAATCTTGACTCTCCCATGTAAGACTTTTCAAGCAAAAACTTAACTTTCTTGAGAATTTTGCCATCATAAGATGAGGAAAAAAGGATTTCTAACGGTATGATGGATACCCAAAGGAGATGGAAACTGTGGGAAGAAAACCCTTCAGTGGGATTAGGGAACCTGAAAATTAGTATCTCTACTATCCAAGTGAAGATGGAAGTCTCCCAAAAAAAGAAGTGTAAATATGTCGAATGACTCCCTATTAAAAGGAGGACAATGAAAATTGAAATTAAACACAAATAAGAATTTTCCAAACACAAAATGGTTGAAGGCTTACGATACAATCTCAACTAAGAGAGGTGGTATAGATGAAGGAATAAGATAGTAAGGGGGTCATCCACCAACCACCTATCTTCCCAACTCAACAAACCATTTAAGGGAAGACTAGAGCACCTAGAAAAAGATAGTTTCCAAGGGAACTCTGAATGTGCCTTTAAATCCCAAATGAGGCACACTCAAAAGAGTGAGAGACGTGTTTGCTGACAATTAGCTTATGCCATCGAGTGTTGTTTGGCTCTAATAGAAAATGCCATACCCATTCAGCCAATAGGACCTCGTTAAGAAGTCTCAAATTGCATTGCCTAGCTCTCCATGGCCAATTGATCTTACCTCACCTCCCAACAAATAAAACGGGGACATCTATCCTTCCTTACACCCTCCTGGAAAAAGTATTTATAACATTCTCCAAACTCTTATTAATGGATACAGGAATACTAAACCCAAACTGAACAAGAGACGTTTTTCGACCTTATCTAAGATGGGATTCCAAAACGAAGCCGGCTTGGAAGTATGACAAGGTTTAAGGATGCCCAATTGTTAATCTTGGAGGACTCACAACCGATGCCTAAACTGAATTCTTAATTTTATCAAGACCTGAAATTATCCAAATAATATATATATAGGTTAAGGTTAAACGGAATCCTCATTACTTGAGCTGAAAATTTTGTAGCATAGGTAGGCTAGAGATGTCAGATGAAATTTAATTATGCAATATCAGACTTATACTCATCTAAATAATTATTTGGCGTTCTAGAAAATTGAATGAATAAATAATATTTGGTAAATAATCTAAATTTAACGAACCTTAAACTCAATTAGTACACAAGGAAGTAGAAAAAAGAACAAACATAAATACTACAACATACCATTAATAATTGTTCGGTTAGGAAGCTGCCCATACATGACAGACATACTCAGGTCATTAAAAACTTCAAGGGGAAGCATCCTGATAACAAGTAGTGGACAAAGACGCTCAAATAGAGATTGCTGCACACTTGGAGAGATATCTACATTTTGGCTCCCCCGTTTAGTGTAGAAGCTTTCATCAATCCTATCACAAAGAAAATGTAGTAAAGTTACTCAGTACTCGTTAACTATACTCCATGGGTTGATTTCTTTTTTTTTTTTTTTTTTTTTTTTTTTTCATGCTATGTATTGGTGTGAAAATACTCACCCACTGAAAAATTATAGCCTATCTTCTTTGATCTCTAATTGGAGTTCTTTACTGTAATTAACCTTTTGGTTGAGAGCCTATAAGCTCCTTTTTTTTCATTCATCAATGGAAATTGTTTCCCTTCTCTTATAAAAAACTATATTTCATGAGTTTAAAATTGAAAATAAATAAGGTGGATGTTTATAAAGCCATTCAAAATAGAACCGTTAAGCTACTTTGCATACAATTCAATTTAAAAATATTGAGGTATGTCTCTCTCTTCTTTAGTAAGAAATAAGGGAATATGTGTTTGTATCTTTGTGTATGAGATTGTATGAAAAGGAGTGGACAAGAGATCCTATTGAGAAAATAAATACAAAGTGAATTGAATTAAAAACAATGGAAAATCCAACATGTCCGTACATTTCCTCTAAACTGAAACCTTGCAAAATCTTCCTTCAAATTAACTCTAATAGTCTATAACGTAACCAAAAAGCACCAAAGATGCCAAATGTATGGTTTATTATTATTTTTGTCTATTTATTATTTAACAATAAAATCTTCCCAAACAAAAAAAAAAAAAAAAAAAAAAAAAAAAAAAGGTTTAGCAAGATAGATCCTAAGCTCCTCTGTTTTTAAAGTCGAACAATCCAGGACCATGTGAAACACTTGAAAATCAAAATTAGAAATGTGAGTGCATAATAGAAAGTATAGATTTTTAACAGAACACTCCCAATGGAACAAACCCTGCCTGCGAAAGAAGTCCAAAGATTTGGCATACTACACTACTTGAAAAACAAATACTAGTTCTTATTTTATCACAAATCAACTCAATACCATATTTAATCACTAATCAACTCAAAAGCTTAAAGTAATGAGTTCGGTGAATTTAAAGTTCAAATATTATTTTGGTATACTTGAGTTTCATTCTATTTTAGTACCAGTACTTTCAATGTCCAATTTTAGTCTATGCACTTTTAATAAATCTCAAAATTAGTCCCTATGGTTAGTTTATTGTTGATCTTTTTTATAAAAAATAATCTCTAATAAAATTCCCTTTATAAATCTTTAAAAAAATAGTCCTAGTGTCTTGCAGGAAAATTATTGTTCTTTTACTAATTTTGATAAAAAAATAACTTTTGAATGGCTAAATTTAAGATTTGCTGAAAGTATACGGACTAAATTTGGACAAATAAAGTACATAGACTAGAATGGATGGAACCCAAAGCGTAGGAACTAAAATGGTATTTTAACCTAAATTAAAATTATATCAAAACTAACAATTTTAAAAATGATTCTCTCTCCTATCCCCACACAAAAGGAAGAAAAACATAAAGATAAAAAGCAGAATGGCATGGGAATCCTTTCATTTCTAATAATCATCAAGCTAGACGTGGAGAAAGCCCAAGACTTAACAGATCCTTTTTTTTTTTTTTTTTTTAATAGAAAAATTACAAAAGGAGGGGAAAACCCCAAAGGAAGAATTACAAAAAATATATACTTAAATTCCAATGAGAGAAAATTTTGTAATTACAAAAATATAGGACTTGCAGAGTGGAATTTCTTCTCAGAGATATTTTAGAATAAAGGTTTCAACCAGACAAAATTATGATACTAAATTTTCTATTTTCGTTAAAGGAAGACTAAAGGGTGTGAAGTAAGGATTGTAGGAGGTTACGTACTCTTTCTGTCCTTTCACATACGACAAGATACGCTTTAGGATCACATCAGTAGCTTTCACCAAGTGCTCGTTTATAATACTCAGGAATCTAACGAGAACTGCATTAGATGGTTCTGCAAACATCTTATCAATCAACGATCCTATCAAGAACTTCCAATCTTGAACCTGAGGAATTACGAAACAATCAACCAACCCATTATTTCTCTTCAGACAGATGATGCAGACTTATTAACAACAAATGAGAAAACCAACTGGAAGATACTGCATATTTTTCATACAAACAAGAAAAAAATTGCAAAACAAGAAGGAAAAAAGAGAAGCATCATGATTGTTATCTCATTGCTAATACACATCACACAAACTTGGGAGGGAAAGTAAGAGCTGAGGATTTCTTTTTTGGTCATTTCTAGTTCGTTTCGATGCTGTTAAGGAGTCATTGTCCAAAAGAAAATGTCTTTTTCAGATTATTTCCTTGTGAAATTAGTTTACAAACATCATGATCAGGGGAGTTAAGCCGAGGTTGAAGAGCTGTAATGGTTTATTTGACTTTCTACTCCCCTGTTTTGTCCAGTTTCCACTTGAAACATCACTGGAATTATTCGATCTCATGGAATCATAGACCTTGATCAATTTGGTCCACTGCAACTCCCAATCAAACAAATTTCTTAAGAAACCATGGATTTTCATATTCACTTCTTTCAAATTCAATCTTATGTCATATAGACACCTCCTAAATTTGTTCTACTACATAAACATCTCCTGACTTGATCGAATATGAATCATATGTGCAAGTACATCTTCCTGCCCCTAAATTAACATTCATTCCATCTTATAACACTTTTGGAAAGCTACGAAATACCATGCATGTTGTTTCTTTGAGACCCATCACGAAATTGAGTTTGCTTCTCCTTTCTTTGAACCCATGATGATATCGTGAAATTGAGTTTGCTTCTACTTTCTATGAACCCATAATGGTAAGTCGTCAATTATGCCTACTATGAAGTACGATCAACCAAGGTGAAAAGATAGAATGGGTGTGAGGTAATAATTCAAACCAACCCATATGCTCCCCTTTTCAATAATCTTCTGGCTAGAAGCATACAAATCCTGTAATGTGCCTCTCTCTATGGTATCTAGTAACCGTAAATATAAGAATATAATAAAATTCACTTGATTAAGCTAAGTTCTTTTTTAAATCTCGATACATGCAATTCGCTCAACACCAAAGAATATTCTTTTTTTTTATTTATTTACATGATTTAAAGTACAAACTGGTAGTTTTTTTTATCTTCTTGTCCACAAGGGTTTCCTATACTTGTAATAGCAAGGTAGCAATGCTTAATTTTTGGTTCACTTTTTTTTTTTCTTTTTTCTTTTTTCTTTTTTTGTACATTCAAATATAATTCTTTAGTTATTCAAGGCAATTATTTCCAGCATGCAATTAGTAAAGCAATTATTTCTATTAAATCATTCACTTTGATATTTTACTGAAAAAAAATGGTGATATTGTACCTTCATTGGTCAATAATTTCATTTTTGGGAGTATCTTAACAATCAAATAGAAGGGTTTCAATTTAGATTAATTCTGAGCAAAAAGTTTGAAACATTTATTCCCTCAAGACCCATTTTCAAGACCATATAGGATGTAAACTTCTTCCTAATAGCCACGAGAATTATCTTTTAAAAAATAATCCAAACAAATTCCTACAATTTTTGTTGTGCTTGGTTTTACAGGATCTTATGTTTGCAAGTCTCTCTTTGTTTTGAGCGTTTTCTTTGCTCAGTGTTTTTTTGTTGTACGATTTTTTTTTTTTTTTTTCCTTTATAGAGTTTCTATAAATATTCTTATTGTGTTCCATATTGCTCTCTATCTCTCCCTTGTGCTTTAATCTCTTTTCATTTATTCAATAAAAAAAATTTGTTTTTTGTTAAAAAAATGCCACCAATATCAACATGCATTTCCTTCCAACTTTAAAAGTACTAACCCAAGGAAGCAAAAATAAATAAATAAATGGAACAGAGACCAGCATGCATTGGCACAAGCAGGGGTCATAGAAAAGAGTAACAAAATCAGCACTTTCTGTTATGTTTTCCAGTAAACAAGGGTTCAGCAGACAATCCACACACAGGCACACAGAGTTGTTTTCCCATAAAACTTACACTGTGAGACCATTTAGGAATTAAGCTGAGCACTCGATCACTTTGCAACCTTGATCCTGAAAAAAGCTCTATGTAAGATACAAGTATCATACATGGAAGTTGCAAGCCAAAAGGCATGAATCAATTCCATAACTTAGTACCCACGTGATCATTCAAACTCAAACTTTGTTGACTCGTGGAGTAGTAGAAGAGATATATATTTGCCAATTCATAAACTATGGTAATTGCCAGACCAGCACGATCAACAAAATAAAGTTCTGCTCAAACGATTTGAATGAAATAGATGACTGCACGTAAACTAGGATACGCAAAAGTTTATTCTGGGAGGAATTAGAGTTCCATCCTTTGAAATTTAAAATAACGTAGAAGTAAAAAAATAGATAAATGGGGCAATGAGTTTCAAAAATCAATTGCATGGTTTCTGCTCAAACGACTGTCCAATTTTCCCTCCCCAAATTTTTTTATGTAGGAAATAGTTGTTCAAACAAATGAAGATTACGAGTGATCAGAGGATTAGAATAAATGACTTGAAAGCTAACCAAATAATCAGCCCAAACAATTGCAGAAAAAGATATCCAAGTAGCTAAAGAAATGTAGATATATAAAAACTGATGATTTGTTATGAAAGATATATGAGTTACATAAATCAAAACCTTCCATGTAGGCCATGTACGTATGTGGAGAACATAACACAATACCAAGAAAAAGAGAAATGTCATGCATCTGCAGCAAATGTTAAAAACATACCTTGACCTTTACCCCCAGTATTTGAAAGAGCTGCATTTAGGCCAAAATCACTGCACAGGGAAACAAGAGAAATTATTCTCTTTTTCTTTTTTGTATGAGAAACTGGACTATCATGGGAAAAATGAAAGAAAAGAAGATGAGAGAAAGAGAGCCCAGAAGACAAAGGGACAGTAAGGTGTATACTTCTCCAAACGAAAAGAAGAACCTGGCTTATTTTTGTTAACGATTGGATCTGCTTTTGTTTCCTTATTTACACCATCCTTCGTTTTTAGTTACCATAGCTAGAAATGGGAAAACAACACTTTTGATCCTTGTGGTTTGGATTTAGTATCATTTTGGTCCCAGAATTTTCAAACTCAATCATTTTTGTCCCTGCCATCAGTTTTCCATTACTGTAACAAACTGACACTGATGTGGGCACTTCATTTTTATTAAAAAAATAATATTATTTTCTAAAAATTTCTCTCTTCTTTTTCCTTCTTTCTCCCTCCTCCCATCCTTCTAACTATTCCATCCATGGATGCTACCGCCTCCACCTCAAACTTTTTTTCCTTCGCTTTCTTCTTTTTTATTTCTTCTGCTCCATTCCAGTCTTCCTTTCTTCACAATAAAAATGAAGATAATAAAATACTAACAATTTGACTGAAGTGAGGGAGGCTCCCTCGCCTCAGATTTGAAGCGAGGGAGAGGGAGAATCATATTTTCTTTCAAAACATACATGAAGAGAAGGGGAAAAAAAAGAAAAGAAAGGAAGAGGAGGGCCATGGATGGGAGGGAGAGGAATAAGAGAATAGAGAAAAAAGTAGAATAAAAAAATATTGAGCATATTAACAATTTAAAAATTAAGAGGTTATTTTTTACAAAAAAAAAAAAAAAAAAAAAAAAAAAAAAAAAAAAAAAAAGTGACAAGTCAACTTCTATCAGCTATAAAGGGAAAACTGACGACTATGAAGCATGGACAAAGACATGGGATATGGACAGGGCAAAACACCGACACGACGACCTACCAATTTCTAGAAAATGTAGGATTCAAATACGTTGGGGACACACTATTTTTTTATATTGTTTTTAGAAAAATATTAAAAAAACCAACAATACTTCAGTTTTTTTTTTAATGCAAACTATTTAAAATAATTTTAAAAAAACATTGAATGAAAATTTAATTGGCCATTGAACCTACACAATCGTTTAAAATTTAGATGTTCCTAAAATCTAATAAGCTAATGAGCCCACTTAAACCCAATAAAGACAAAGCTAAACATGCAAAAGTAACCATTAAAAGCCCCCAAATTAAGAAATATAAAAAAGTTTGTAATTAAATGAAAAAACCCAACCCTAAAAGCCTATTTCCTGCCCTTATTTCTACCTTCGGTCCCCCCCCCCCCCCCCCCNCCCCCAATCAGCTGTAATTACCCTCCCCCCTTGATTCTCCTTTTCCTCCATCTCTCCCCCCTTGATTCTCCTTTTCCTCCATCTCTCCCCACCATCTTTTGATCTTCCTCCCACATCAATAGGCTTCACCGTTGATCGTCTTTGGGTCGTCATCTACCGCCAACCAAGTTTGGCGCATGTCTATGGCATGTCCAGAGTTAAAAAATAAAAAATAATTAAAAAAAGGGACACAATTTCGTATGTCGGACACTTGTCTGAAGCGTGTCCAAACCAATCTGTGTTCGACACTCATTCCTCTCCTATATTAGCATGTATGTGCTTCATAGAGTGACGAACGGGACCCAAATACAACAAAATTCAGACCTCATGGACCAAAAATGTAATTTTTCTACCATAAATTTTCCCTCAGGTATTATTGCTTGTGATAAGATCACAAAGCAACTGAATCAAGATGGTTGCTGAGGGTCAAAATCAACGAGAGGAAGTATCCTCTAATTCTGGAAGTTCACCAATCCTCACAGTAACTTTATGTAGTGTTTCTAGTCATAAGTCACAAAGTTAGAGGAAAGAATTCTATGCGACAGTCACAGGTTGTCATTTTACATAAGTACTGTCGAAGCAAAGACAACTACATGGGAGAAGCTCTAAGACAACCAAAAACTACATGCCCAACCATATTGTATACACAAGAAAGTCGAGAACAACTTTGTGAAGACATAGTTAATCAATTATCAATTCCAAGACCAATGAAATATGAAAAAACTATTTTCCCTACCAGAGACAGTTTCAAGTCTTGAAAATACTTGGTAACTTTCAAAGCGAAAGGAAAATTTAGTGATCTTCCACAGGAAGACATGCCTATAACTCAGTACTACATTAGTTTTTTCATTCATTGCTGGCAGCAGCTTGACCTTTATAAAACAAATGATGGTCATCAGCTAATAATGCAAGAAAATACTGGAAAATCATTCAGAAGTGAATCTTCGAGTTTCTCCTGCGGACGAAACAAATACTTGGATGCTATACCAAGAGACTCAGTCACATTAATAAGAAGGGTTTAATGATTCTAGCCAAAAAAAAAAAAAAAAAAAAAAAAAAATTATCTTCCTGCCACAAAAAATGAACCTCTTAAAAGATATGTGCATTGTTTGGTACGAAAGAAAATAAGAGTTTCCTTTAAGGCATCTTGACATTCAAGAAAACAAACGATGTGTGTGGTACAATGATAACAAAAGCACTTCATCATATTGGGCTTGTATCTTGAAGACTAATGATCGATTGTGTTGGAAGTGTTTAAGCAATTTCATGCCCCTGTGGAAAGAGAATCCGAAGTTAAAGTGTAATAGGACTCGAAATGGGGGTGAGTATTGTTGACCTTTAGATGAGTATTGCAGGGATGGTGATATTGACATCATAAGACACCTCCAAAAACTCGTAAGTTAAAAAGGATAGCTGAGGGAATGAACAGAACACCAGTTGAGACTTGAGAGAGATGGTTGCTTTCACAGTCACAGTTACCAGATCATTTTGAGATGAAGCATTAGGCCCAATTGTACATGTTTAAAATCTCACACCGTATGCTCCTTTGGGATTCGAAGTTTGAAATAGAATTTGGTCAAACAAGGATATGTCTTGCAATCAACTGTATGTCTTTAGCAGAAAAACTTTTGTTCATCTTCCTAAAGATTAGAGATCAAAGCTCGATACAAAGACAAAATCATGCGTGTTCCTTGGAAAGACAAAATCATGCGTGTTCCTTGGCTATAGGATATGGGAAAGGTGAGTTTGGTAATAGACTGTATGATCAAGTGCAGAAATAGCTCATTAGAAATCGAAATGTTGTGTTAGAAGACAAATAAAATAGAGTTTGAACTCATTGATGGTAACACCTGGAATTTTAAGAAAATAAAAAAATAAAAAAAGGAAAAAAGAAAAGAATGAAAGAAAGCAAAATGATGTGCACGCAAACGGGAGAAGATGACCGTACAGTCAACGGTTAGTTTCTCAACCTTCTCTTTTAACGAATTTGAAGCTAGTCAACCATTTTCACTAGTTTTATTTTTTCAACTTAATTTAAGGCATATTGAAGAATTTGAAGAAATTTGGAATATTCTCGAAAACTCGAAACAAGCTCGGGAAGTCTACAATTAAGTAACCATATGGAACAAGTTTGTAAGAAATACTTGTAGGAGTCCATTAAGATTGAGGGCAATGATTGAGTATTGTGTTAGGAGTCTAGTTTGACTTAGTCTTATGATAATTGTGCTTAGATAATATGAACCGTTTACAACTTAGTCCCATTTATAGTTATATAGCTTTTGCACGCATGATTTGTGAACTCTGATAGACCATTAGACTTTTATGCTTTCCAGTATGTAGAGGTTGGATTCTTATCACTTAATGAGCATGATGAGCATGTTGTATGCCTTTATACATTTTTTATGCATGATTTAGGGTTTAGAAAGTTTGATATTGCCCAATTATGAGTTGGACTATCGCTATGTGTCATAGAGTACTAGTTATGATTTCCATGGACTATGAGTTACTGTTTCACGTATTTTTGTCCTAACACCTAGCCATGAGTTCCATAGCCTCCTCTAGTTGACCAGGTACCTTGTAGGGACGGATAGGGCGCAACCCCTATTTGTGAACTAGCCAACAGAGGTTAGGGTCTACTTGTTACACATGGCTAAGTTGTCACCCTCAAAAGATTCAGGAGTCACAGTGGGTATACTATTGAAATATTATCGGTGGTGCCTAGTGGGGAGAGTCATGGTTTTTTTTTTACTATTCCAACCTAAGTGGCGTAGTGACAAATAGTTTTATTGTTCTAGCCTTAAAAGGCAAAGCAACAGGTAGTTACTATTCCAGCCTGAAAAGGCACAGTGACAGGTAGTTTACTGATCTTAGGAATAGGTAGATGTTGCCCCGCACCACTAAAGAGAATCCATTGATTAGAGCTTAGTAGGTAGATATGTTTGTAGTACGGTCATCGTTTAGAGCAAAAACTGCTCCTCCAAACTTATGAGTATTACCCTAGGGCCCTTCCATGGGGCCACCGTGACTCAAGACGCACTTTGCGCAAGATGGACCTAGACTTCAGCAATGAATGGAGACAAAATCTAGAGGGATGAAAGGAGGAAAGGAGAGAAGAGAGGAGAGGGTACTTATCTAACTTCTTATTGAATTGGGATTTGATATCTTAACACCAACCAAATTGTGGTGTGATAATCAAGGAGCTCTTCATATCGCATCTAATCAAATATTTCATGTGCAGACTAATTACATTAAGGTTTACTATCAATTTCTACATGATAAAATGCAATAAGGTTAGGTGTCCAAAGGATATGTCAAGCATTAAGCGGAGCACGTATAGATTATCCCTCGAACATGTTTGACATAACTCACACATATTCTCCTAACTCGAGGGGCAGATATCATTGTTGTATTATTGTAAAAGTAACTTGGACATATTTTCCTTTATTGTTATTTTACTTTACCCTTGTACACTTGCCTAGATACAGTGAATGGAAGATCATTGATTCCTCTCAAACCTTTAGTGTAAAAGAGAGATTCTAATGTGAGGCCCTCTAGAAAATAGTACTAGGTAACATATTGGGATATCCATGAAAACATGCAAATTGAAAGGCCTCTCAGAATAAATCGAAAAAGAAGGGAAGAAAAAGAAAGGGTAATCACAACACCTACTCAAAGAAAATAATTCTCTAAATCTGAAATCTTCAAATCAAGCAAATAGATGTTCAATAAAAATTTATTTGGAAAGCACCAGAGTCCATCTCTACACTTCCAACAGCATATTTCAATGCCCCCGCGGTTTAGCTGGATAGGCTGTCCCACAATTATACAATTGTATACCAAGGAATGTGCACCTTAGGTACCCAAGGGAAAATGGAATGACAGGACTTAAAACGTCTTCTACACCCGTGGAATCTCAAGGAAAACCTCCTGATAAAAGCAAACCTATAGACAAGCGAATGTAACAATAGTTGGCTAGGCAACTTATTCTTAGTATTATTATTATTATTATTATTATTATTATTATTATTATTATTATTATTATTATAATAAATAGGCAATAGGAGCAACTTATTTACTAATTTCATACTGAACCTGATACTTGCTTTGCTTTTAGTTATGTGTGCCAAATAAAAAGAGAGACCCACTAACGTCAATTTTAGTCTCATTCTCGAACAAAGAAAAATGACAAGAAAGTTAGACCAGAACAATATGGAACCAGGATTTCTTTCCCACTGTACGCAAAATTCTCGATAAAGAAAATTATTCTCCCATTTAAATCCCAGTTTGATCTTAACAACCAATAAGTTGATAAAAAATGAACAAAAGTTTGTGCATCTTCTCATTTATTGGGGAGAGGGAACAGAGGTAGTTAAGCAAAATACCTAACACAGTCAAGTAGCACAAAAATCGCTCCAATGTTCTGATTATGACACTTGAGCACCCCAACGAGAGCCTCCTCGGCTGAAGCTAGACCTTTATCATTTGACGAGTAGACAAGACGTACTAAGGAAGGTAAAACTAAAGAAGGGTCTGCATGACAGGAAATGTCGATCCTCATTAATGACAAAGGCAGCAGAGGGTATTAACATTCAGACACAACCCAAGCAGTTGAACATTATTTTATATGACAAAAATTACAGTAATAGTGGTTCATCGTAGTTCTATATGTTTTGATTCAGGGTTTTCCTAAAATAATATCTTGATTTTATTAATCAGCTATATAGAGTGTTATATTCCTAAACAAATATTTTTTTAAAAAAAAATAGAGCACATGAAGAAGAAAAAAAAAAAAAAAGTGAAGTATACATGCTAAATTAAAGTGTACATAAATAACACCATGCAAATTCAATGGCCTACGTCCCAACAAATGGAAATTCAACATCCATTACACATGGCTTATTTTAAGTAATAATTGTAGGGGTCGATTAGGATAATGGGCAAAATTCATTAGGAAGCATTGTGATAAACAAGTTGGATATTCATTTGGAACCATGATGACAAACCTAGTTAATCAAGTTAGATATTTATTTGGTAGCATGGTAGTAAGTCTATTTATTTGGAACCTAGTTATAAATAAATAACTTGGAACCTAGTCATCATGGTAGCATGGTAATAAATATCCATTTGGAACCTAGTTATACACACGAACCATGATGATAAACTATTTTGAATTGACTCCGTGTATACGATTTTGTATTAATCTTATGTCAATCTTCCATGCATATTTAAATTTTAAATTTTCTTGTGTCTCCCGTTTACAAAAGAAAATTTTTGCCACCCTTTTTACCATGGAGTCTACATGGTGATCTGTGACTCAAGACATTGCAAAACGTGATCTGTGATTCAAGACATTGAAAAACGGGTTGTTACACTTCATGGCTACCAATAATCCACCTAGACCAAATTTATTCATAGTCTTCATAGCTACCGTCAAAGTCATGCCTTAACGTTGAAGTTGTGTCGTCAATATTGTACATAAATCTATCCAGTGCAAGCTAGTAATAGATATATTAATTCTTAGCGGGGGGGGGGTGTCAAAGGAATTTGTGGAATTCATGGAGGATTGTTGGGAGTCTCATTTGGCTAATTAAGGAAAAATCACGAGTATATAAGTAAGGAATACATCTCCATTGATATCTAGTAATTTGAAGAAACAAAAAACAAAGTCATGAGAGCTTATGCTCAAAGTGGACAATATCATACCATTATTGAAGTATGTGGTTCCTAACATGGTATCAAAGTCATGCCCTTAACTTAGTCATGTCAATAGAATCCTCATGTGTATAGCATTTGTGAGCCTCGAAAATATAGTCAAAAGTGACTCAAGTGTGGAACAAAAGGTGTACTTTATTCAAGGGCTCCAAAGAAGGAGTCAAGTCTTGATTAAGGGGGGGTTGTTTGAGAGCTCTATAGGCCTCAGAGGAGGCTCTATGGTGTACTTTGTTTGAGAGGAGGATTGTCGAGAATTGTTGGGATGAGTCCCACATTGGCTAATTAAGGGGAAAATCATGAATTTATAAGTAAGGTGATATGAAGAACAAGGAATTTTCATACCATTACAAGGACGAGAGCAAAGAAGCTACAACAAACCTTGTACACTTACATCCAAGCTATGGTGAGCTCATCAAAGGAAATTCTAGAAGACGTTAGAGACCTCCCTTATATGTTGTGCAAAGTTGAGCTTCAAGAAAGAGATGCATTAAATACACTTTAAGTTGCATTTAATGAACTCGTCCAAGGATGATTAATAAGCACATTCCATTCATTGCATTATTTTAATTATAATTTAGATATTTGTTTGTCATATTTAAGCTAGTTTTTAATATAGAAGTTAAGGTTATATTGTAACCTACCTAAGTTACCATATTCCACCATTAACTAGCCATTTTAATAGGGAGGTTATGGATATTTCTCATTTACTAGCAAATTTAATTTGGGAATAATGTGTCACATAGGTTAAGGTTGTAAAGGTTGTAAAGGTTATATAAAGTCTTCTTTTTTTTATTAGGGACATCACATTTTGGAATTAAAAAGAATAGAATTCCTATTTTTTTAGCTTTGTTGAGAGCTAAGGAATTTCTAATCAAAGAAAAATGAGAAATACTCATAACCTCCATATTAAAATGGCTAGTTAATGGTGGAATATGGTAATCTATATAGGTTACAATATAACCTTAACTCCTATATTAAAAACTAGCTTAAATATGACAAACAAATATTTAAATTATAATTAAATAGTACAATGAATGAAATGTGCTTATTAGTCATCCTTGAACTAGTTCCATACATTTAGTTGAGTTCATTAAATGCAACTTAAGGTGCATTTAATGCATCTCTTTCTTGAAGCTCAACTTTGCACAACATATAAGGGAGGTCTCCAACGTCTTCTAGAATTTCCTTTGATGAGCTCACCATAGCTTGAATATAAGTGTACAAGGTTTCTAGCTTCTTGGCTCTCGTCCTTGTAATTAGACCTTGAGGTATGGAAATTCCTTGGTTGTGGTTCATATCATAAGGAATACATTTTTATTGGTTTTAAGGCCTCTTAGGGAAACCAAAAATAAAGTCACGAGAACTTATGCTCAAAGTGGATAATATCATACCATTGTTGTCTGGGATTCCTAATAGAATGTCCAATAATAAAATGGTTCACTTCGCAGAGAACATATTCATAAGGGTAAAGCAAAAATTAATATTAAGAATAGTGCAAATGTAACGATACGAGTTTCAAAAAAAAAAAAAAAAAAGTAATATTGAATGACACAGGAAATCACGTATTATTTCCTTGAGTTCCCCACTCTTAAACCCTAGGGTATCTAAATAGTCGTTCTTTTCCATTGATTGTCACTGTTGCACCTGTGAGAGAAAGACAGAAGGGTTTGAAGTGAGAAATTGGAAAATGAAACGAGGTTTCGAGTTTTCAGTGAGTTTTCTTGGATAAGAGTGAACTAACATCGTGGTGTTGCATAGCAAGGAGGGACAAACAAAACGGCAGCAAGAACGAACGTAAGGACGTCGATCTTGTCAGAATCGAAAAAGGGTGATCGTAGTTAGGGTTTTCGAATTGTTCTAGAGTAAGGAAGGAAAAGTGACGGTTCGGGTTTGGTTTCTCCATATACCCGCGAACACGGTCCAGCCCACATCGCTCAGCCCAGACGACTCTATTTCGGCCCAATTGTAGGCGTCAGCCCAAAACAAGCAGCTGCGTCTTTCGGCTCACACATGCGCGCAGACGCGGCTCGGCCTGCACACGTACGTAACGTCAACTCGGCTCCGTTTTTCCTCGCAGCTCGACTATGTATATTTGGTAAACATAAACCATATATATACCCCATTAGGCAGTGCTTTCAAAATGTACTTTCTTCATTCTATGTATTCTTTGTTGTTTGTACATACCTGAAGTCATCAATGAAACCTTTAACCAATACTCCTCCTTGAATTTTCTCTCTCCTTTTCTTTGTGTTCATCTTGATCGAGTGTGTGAGTTGTTGTGCGATCCTAACAACTTGTATCAAAACGAGGCGAGATTCACCATGATCTGTGAAGATGGAAAGTTCAAAGATTGGAATTGGAAAGTTTCTAGAAGATACAGATGGAAGATTGACTGTATCAGAAAGATCTTCACAAACCCCTATTGGGGGTGAAGCCGGATACCATGACCACGGAGCAGTGGAAGCTCAAGGATCATCGAGCCTTAAGGTCGATCCGATTGATACTGTCCAAAAACGTGGCGTTCAATATCATCAAGGAGAAGACGACGTCGGACCTATTGAAGGTGTTGTCGAATATGTACGAAGAACCGTCGACTATGAACACGGTGTATTTGATGCGGAGATTGTTCAATCTACAAATGTCTGAAAATGGATTTATTGTTAATCACATAAACGAATCCAATATGATTGTAAATCAACAGAGTTCGGTGGAAATTAATTTCGAAGATGAAATTAAGGCATTTATTTTGATGTCATCTTTACTCGAGTAGTGGGATACTGTTGTTGCCGCGATCAGCAGCTCCCGAGGATCTGAGAAGCTGAAGTTCAATGAAATTTGAGAAGTAATTCTCAGCGAAAGTATTCGCAAACGAGAAATTAAAGATTCATCTGGTGGTGCTCTCAATGTTGACCAAAGGGGAAGAAGCAAATCGAAGGGCCCAAACAATGCGCAATCAAAATCAAAGAACCGGGAAAAATCTCCAAACAAGCCAAACGCAAAGTGTTGGAGTTGTGGAGAAAAAGGTCACTTTCGAGCAGATTATACAAAGAGAAAGCAGAATCATAAATTAGAGGATGATGATTCGGTAAATTCAACAAAAGACATTGAGGATGCTCTAATCCTCAGCGTGGACAGTCCGATTGAATCCTGGATTTTGTATTCAGGTGCATCTTTTCATTTGTCTCCAAATAAAGAGTTGTTTCAGAATTCAAGTCTGAAAATTTCAAGGTGTATCTTGCTGACAACAAAGATTTAGAAATTGAAGGAAAAGGGAATGTGTGCATAAAAACTGCGGCAGGAAATCGATGGACATTAAAGGATGTCAGATACATTCCTGGTCTCAAGAAGAACCTGATATTTATTGGTCAGTTGGATAGCACAGGTTATGCAACAGAGTTTGGGAAGAGTTTGTGGAAGATTGTGAAGGGTGTTATGGTGGTAGCTCGTGGCACAAAATCTAGAACCCTATACACCACTACAGGGTGTATAAACATAGTTGTTGTTGCTGAGTGCTTCCAATTCAAGTCCATGGCACAATAGACTTGGACATACAAGCGTTAAAGGAATGAAGATGCTGGCAGCGAAAGAAGTTCTGGAAAGTCTGAAATCTGTTGATGAGTCCTTGTGAGAACTGTGTTATGAGAAAATAGAAACGAGTTAGCTTCACAAAGACTGTCAGAGAATTGAAGAAAGGTTCCGAGACAACTAAGCAAGTGGAAGTTGAGGTTGAGTTGCAAAACAATTCACAGGGTGATGTTGTTGCAGATACTCAAGAAACTTCTGAGACTGTTGTTGAGGAACCAGAAGTGGAGCAAGTGACACCTGAACAGATGTTGAGAAGATCATCCAGGACTATCAAAGTACCAAATAGGTATTCACCTTCATCACATTATCTGTTGCTGACTGATGAAGGGGAGCCATAGCCCTTTGATGAGATCCCACAGTTGGAGGATATAACCAAGTGGGAGCAAGCCATGGATGATGGATGTCTAGGCTTCAGAAATGCGTTGCTCTTTCATCTACTGATGCTAAGTACGTGACAATAGCTGAAGCTGGAAAGGAGATGATATGGATGACAGACTATCTAGAAGAATTAGGCAAGAAGCAGCACGAGAAGATTCTTTAGGTAGATAATTAGAGTGTCATGCAATTGGTGAGGAACCCGATCTATCATTCAAAGGCAAAACACAGAAGGTGATACCATTTCACTCAAAGGTTAGTGGAAGATGGTGATGTGTTTGGAGAAGATAGAGGGTGTAAAGAATGCAACAAACATGTTGACGAAATGTGTTGATGTTAGAAAGATGAGGTTGTGCAAAACCTCAATTGGTATGGTGCAGATTGAGAAGAAATTCTTGGTTGATTGGATCAGTCTCCAAATGGGAGATTGTTGGGATATGGAGCTTGATGCCTATTTATAGTAAAGATCTGATAAAGATGTATATGGTAGATATTTTGTAAAAATCTGGTAGAGATATATATGGTGGATATTTCGTAAAAATTTGGTAGATTATATCTCGTAGGTGGTTAAATCTGTTAAACCTATATTTAGTAAATGGAAACCATATATATACCCATTAGATAGTGCTTTCAAAATATATTTTCTTCATTCTTTGCTCTATTGTTGTAGATACCTGAAATCATCAATAAAACCTTTAGCCAATATTCCTCCTTGAATTTTCTCTCTCCTATTCTTTGTGTTCATCTTGATCGAGTGTATGTGTTGTTATGCGATCCTAATAGTAGGCCCATGAATGCGTATGTGGGCCGTGTGTGGAGAAGTACTACACATCCACCCTGCCCGGATAAGAAAGGAGCCTAAGGCCATGTAAGGTAAATGAAAGACAAGTCCCACTCATGGGCCTACTATTAGGATCGCTCTATTGTTGTACATACCTGAGATCATCAATAAAACCTTTAGCCAATATTCCTCCTTGAATTTTCTCTCTCCTGTTCTTTGTGTTCATCTTGATCGAGTGTATGTGTTGTTATGCGATCCTAATAGTAGGCCCATGAACGCGTATGTGGGCCGTGTGTGGAGAAGTACTACACATCCACCCTGCCCGGATAAGAAAGGAGCCTAAGGCCATGTAAGGTAAATGAAAGACAAGTCCCACTCATG